CGGGCAGTCTTCAGGGGCAACCCCACGTAGAGAGCGTTGCAGTAGTCTAAACGGGGTGTGACCAGAGCGTGGACCACCGTGGCCAAGTCAGGCTTCCCAAGGTACGGGCGCAGCTGGTTTTGCACAAGTTTTAGTTGTGCAAAAGCTCCCCTGACCACCGCCGAGACCTGGGGCTCCAGGCTCAGCGATGAGTCCAGGATCACTCCCAGGCTCGAACCTTTGCATGTTTAAAGGGGCAGCGCCAAGGAGGAGTTCCAAGGCGTGGGCCTCCTTCCCTCCCTCCAAGCCAGGCTGAAGCCGAAGGGAGAGGAATCAGGGAAGGGACCACGTGGCCCAGAGAGACAGGAGGGGGCCAGGGTGAGGGCTGTACCATTCAAGAACCCTGCCATTCCTTGTATAGGATCTGTGTCCGGCCTGGCTTCCCTTGGCCCAATGGAGGTTTAGCACAGCTGGTAAATCATCCGCCCTTATAGATCTATCAACCAAAAGGTTGCAACTTCACAGCCCCAGGTTGGCATGAGCTACCGACTGTCAGCCTAGCTCACTGTTTACCTATCATAGAATCATAGAATCAAAGAGTTGGAAGAGACCTCATGGGCCATCCAGTCCAACCCCATTCTGCCAAGAAGCAGGAATATTGCATTCATAGAATCATAGAATCAAAGAGTTGGAAGAGACCTCACGGGCCATCCAGTCCAACCCCATTCTGCCAAGAAGCAGGAATATTGCATTCAAATCATCCTTGACAGATGGCCATCCAGCCTCTGTTTAAAAGCTTCCAAGGAAGGAGCCTCCACCACACTCCCTCCGGGGCAGAGAGTTCCACTGCTGAACGGCTCTCACAGTCAGGAAGTTCTTCCTCATGTTCAGGTGGAATCTCCTCTCTTGTAGTTTGAAGCCATTGTTCCATTGTGTCCTAGTCTCCAAGGAAGCAGAAAACAAGTTTGCTCCCTCCTCCCTGTGGCTTCCACTCACATATTTATACATGGCTCTCATCATGTTTCCTCTCAGCCTTCTCTTCTTCAGGCTAAACATGCCCAGCTCCTTAAGCCGCTCCTCGTAGGGCTTGTTCTCCAGACCCTTGATCATTTGAGTCGCCCTCCTCTGGACACATTCCAGCTTAGAGTCAATCTCTCTCTTGAATTGTGGTGCCCAGAATTGGACACAATATTCCAGGTAAAGTGGTCTAACCAAAGCAGAATAGAGCATGGGGAGCATGACGTCCCTAGATCGAGACACTAGGCTCCTCTTGATGCCTGAGGCCAAAATCCCATTGGCTTTTTTTGCCGCCACATCACATTCCTGGCTCATGTTTAACTTCCTCCCCACGAGGACTCCAAGATCTTTTCCAGAAGTCCTGCTCTCGAGCCAGGCCTCATCGTCCCCCATTCTGTCTCTTTGCATTTCGTTTTTCCTACCAAAGTGGAGTCTCTTGCATTTGTCTCTGTTGAACTTCATTTTGATAGTTTTGGCCCATCATCTCTCTCATCTGTCAAGATCGTTTTGAACCTAAGGAGTTCGAAAACGGCTTGAGCTGTGATTAGAGAAATTAGATACCGCTCAAAAGCGGGGGAGGTGTTTGACGGCTGAGGCTGCCATAGAAGAGGCCAGAACATCTCCAGCCAGCTCCTGCCTTTGGGGCTCCTCGTGAGGAAGACTGCCACCCCAGGCCATTCCCAGCTGGTCAGACTCACCAACCCCAGGAGGGTGCATCTATAAGAACTGGGGCAGGGCCAGAGGAGCCTAGTTACTATCTCCTTCTAACCCAGGAGGAGTCTGTAGAACAACTATGGGGAAACTACGAAGTCAGGAAATTAGGATGCAACACTTTGTAGGCTTTTAATTTGCATTGCTGTTTTAATTGTTTGTTTTATAATTTGATACGGTATGTTGATTGTTGGGTGCACGATGCGGCATTTAATGTTCTCTCTAGTTTGTAAGCCGCCCTGAGTCCCCTTCGGGGTGAGAAGGGCGGTGTTGGGGTTCAGCCTGAGTTTGAACTTGAACCTGATTCTCTGTTTGTTCCTCCTGATGCTAATGAAAGTATATTTACTGATGCTAGTGGAAATGTACCTCTTGATGCCAATGCTCCTGAAATTAGTGAGGAAGAAACTTCTGTAGATTTGGAAAATGAAAGTACCAGTGTTCATGAGAATGTTTCAGAGGGAAGCCATGACCTTTCACTCCCTTCTGCACCTGGTAACTTTAATGAGAACAGAAGGGGGCAGATCTGGCAAGACAGAAGTAAATCACTCAGCTTGCGAAGGTCTTCCCGATTAAAAGAAATACAAACAACGGCTTCAAAGCAGAGAGGCGGTTCACGGAAGCAATTCTTCGGCTTTAAGTGCCTTCCGCCGGGCTGACTTTCTCAGTTCAGGCATCGTTTCAGATTGATGAAGACCTTGGCAGTTCTCCCGGTTTCCCTGGCCATAGTCTTGAAAGATTTCTAGGATATCAAGCACGGTTAGTGGATTGCTAACAGGTTCCAGTATTTTACAGTGTGGCTTTTGGTTTTGCTTTGTCCATTTAAATTCATGTTTGCTGATTTTGCTGTGGCTTTTGACTTGCATTTTTCCTTTATTTTGTAACCATTTTTCTTCAATAAAAAAGGATTGTTTTTCACAGCCAAGTGTGGTGGATAGTTATCTTAGGGCCTCGTTCCCTGCTCTGGATTGCAACAGGCGGGTAGGAATAGAGTAAGTAAATAAAGAACAATGCCATAAAGAGAGAAGATGAGAGAATGCTGGGCGACCCAAAGGGAGGAGGAAGGCCTGAGGGCGCTTTGTCAATCAGGATAAAGCAACGCACTTCCCGGACTCGAGGAGCCCACCCGTGTCCCATGGCACTCCTCCTGTTCTGTTCGGTCTGTGTCTTCTCTATACAAAGCGGCGGCATTGAATGCTTGCCGTGTCGGTGACATATCGAGGGCAGCCGAGACCCCCGCTTTCAAATTTGTATAGAAAACCGTAGCGGAGAGTTCCGCAGTTCCTGGGCTCCGCTATTGCGATCAACTGATGAAATGTGCCTCCAACAGCCAGCCCAGGCAGAGACGAACAAGCCTCAATGCCTTTTCTCTACTTTCCCCAAGCCCTAACATTGTATCTTATCCCCCAATAAAAGTACCTGAAGTTGCAACTTTTAAACTTTCCCGCCTGTTACTTTGTGTCTTTCGTTTTATTGAACTACTACCTAATGCATGAAGTAAACCCTTTCTAGGCTCTGGGGAACCGCGAGCCTGTCTCATTGGGAAGAACTTCCTGACTGTGAGAGCCGTTCAGCAGTGGAACTCTCTGCCCCGGAGTGTGGTGGAGGCTCCTTCTTTGGAAGCTTTTAAACAGAGGCTAGATGGCCATTTGTCAGGGGTGATTTGAATGCAGTATTCCTGATTCTTGGCAGGGGGTTGGACTGGATGGCCCAGGAGGTCTCTTCCAACTCTGGTTCTATGAGAAGGAGATGGGCAGGAAAGGTGTATCAAAGGAAGTGGTGGTGGGAAAAAATCAGTAGTGTCTTTCTTTGCTGCAGAGATACAAGCAATATATCCATTTCAAAGCAAACCGGCTTGTGAGTGGTTATTTAATATTGCTATACAGATCCTACAGTCTGACACACACTCTTATTAAAGCAGCTCCACTGGCTCCCGAAAAGTTTCCAGGCCCAATTCAAAGTGCAGTTTATTACCTATTGAGCCCTATATGCTTCGGGTCCAACCTATCTTCGAGATCGCTCTCTCTCTATGAACCAGTGCTGGCTTTGAGATCTGCTGGGGAGAGGCCCTTCTCTCGGTCCCACCACCATCACAGGTGGGGTTGGTGGGGACGAGAGGGCCACCTCGGTGGTGGCTCCCTGGCTCTGGAATTGCCCCCCCCCCCCCCAGTTTTGTTGAGATTAATTTCACAATTCAGCAGCAGATCAGTTGCACAACTTCAGTGCTTTCCAGTAGCTTCTTCCTGCACAGTATTTTCAGTCAACTGCTCCCACAGACTGCAGTCACTCTGGAACTCTTTACAGGCACTTGAGCACATGCCCGGCTATTGTCAGTTTTACTATTGTTTTCCCCTCCAATCTAGATGACACTACAAACTTACCACAGCACACGGTTATATCTTGTCTTTGCAGACAGGCTCTTTTAATCAATTATACAGAGCCTTCGACAAACAGCATCACAGCACAAGGGGGAAGTACACACTCTACATGACTTCCTTATATACAATTCTGTTGGGAATCAAGAGCTGTTAGGCTCAAAAATAACCCTCTCTGGGGGTGATTCCACCAAAAATATAGCAGAGTGCAGGGTGCACAGTAAATAAGCAGCAGAAACTTACATGTAGTGAGCAAGGATTGACTTCCATTCAGCAGGATGGAACAGGATTGCAGATCCACAACTCATAGGATCAAAATAATATGTTTATTAAAGATAAAAGAAATCCATTCTGGATAGGAAAGGTTCTTGGAGCTCACTAGCTTCACTGAGCTATCATCTAAGGTAAAAGAAAAGGAAAAATAATAAAAGTAACTCTATCTACTACATCTCTGCTGGACAAAAGCAAGATGCTTCCTCACTCTATGGAGGACAAAAAGAAGAGAGCCTAAAAATGGAGACAGGCCGCATGGCACAGCCTAGGGCAATAAAAATACCTTTAAAAGAGGAAGTTACGTTTTCCCTATAGGATTACATTCCTAGGTATTCAAATGGGAAGGAGATAGGACCATGCAAAGGGCAATTCCCCCTTCTTAACCCCTTCTTAACCACAGGAAATTGGGAAGGAATCTCTAAGTCTATCTAGTCTATCTACACCGATGAGAGGGCTAGATATGGATTCTATTTTATGTGTGGCACCTTGAGTACTTGGTTAACCTCCCCGAGTCCCTTCAAGGAGATGGGGTAGGGTACAAAACAAATTATTATTACTATTACTATTATTACTATTATTATTATATCTATACAACAGTCATTATATGTATGTATGTGGGAGGTAATGTAATTTTGTGGCTGAATACTATTACATTATATATTTTATTGTAAATTTATGTGTGTGTGGTTTAACCTCTGGTTTGCCAGTTAAACTGGATGAATGTGTCACAAAGGGATGCATATCTAAGTGTGTCACCAACATGCAAAGTTTGCAAAGCTCTGTCTGGGGTCAAAGACCATTGTTTTCTCCAGTGTGCGTCCTCTGATGTCTACGTAGATGTGCACTCTGAGTGAAGTTCCTTCCACACTCTAAGCATGTATAGGGCTTCTCCCCAGTGTGAGTCCTTTGATGTCTACGTAGATGTCCACTCGTAGCGTAGCTCTTTCCACACTCCAGGCATGTATAGGGTTTCTCCCCAGTGTGAGTCTTTTGATGTCTATGTAGACTTGAAAGTACAGTGAAGCTCTGTCCACACTCCAGGCATGTATAGGGTTTCTCCCCAGTGTGAATCCTTTGATGTGAATGTAGATTTGAACTCTGAGTGAAGCTCTTTCCACACTCCAGGCATTTATAGGGTTTCTTGCCAGTGTGAGTCTTTTGATGTGAACGTAGACCTGAAGTATCAGTGAAGCTCCTTCCGCACTCCAAACATGTATAGGGTTTCTCCCCAGTATGAGTCCTTTGATGTCTACGTAATTGTGAACTCTGAATGAAACTCTGTTCACACTTGAGGCATGTATAGGGTTTCTCCCCAGTGTGAGCCTTTTGATGTGAACTTAGACTTGACGAATGAGTGAAGTTCATTCCGCATTCCAGGCATTTATAGGGTTTCTCTCCTGTGTGATTCCTTTCATGTGAACGTAGATTGCTCATGCAAATGAAGCTCTTTCCACAGGGTTTCTCCCCCGTGTGAGTCCTTTGATGTAAACGTAGACTTGCACTATGAGTGAAGCTCTTTCCGCACTCCGGGCATTTATGGGGTTTCTCTCCTGTATGAGTCCTTTGATGTGAGCGTAGACCTCCACTGCAAGTGAAGCTCTTTCCACACTCCAGGCATGTATAGGGTTTATTCCCAGTATGAATTCTATGATGACTACGTAGATGTGAACTCTGAGTGAAGCTCTGTCCACACTCCAGGCAAGTATATGGTTTCTCCCCAGTGTGAGTCCTTTCATGTGAACGTAGATGTGAACTCTGACTGAAGTTCCGTCCACACTCCTGGCATGTATAGGGTTTCTCCCCAGTATGACTCCTTTCATGTGAATGAAGAGCTGAATTACAAGTGAAGCTCCGTCCACACTCCAGGCATGTATAGGGTTTCTCCCCAGAGTGAGTCCTTTCATGTAAAGTAAGACTTCCATTCTCAGTGAAGCTCCGTCCACACTCCAGGCATGTATACGGTTTCTCCCCAGTGTGAATCCTTTGATGTTTATGTAGATTTGCACTCCGAGTGAAACTCTTTCCACATTCTTGGCACGTATAGGGTTTCTCGCCAATGTGAGTCTTTTGATGAGAACGTAAACCTGAACTCTGAGTGAAGCTCTGTCCACACTCGAGGCATTTATAGGTTTTCTCCCCAGAGTGAGTCTTTTCATGTGAACGTAGACTTGAACTCTGAGTGAAGCTCTGTCCACACTCCGGGCATGTAAAGTGTTTCTCGCCAGTGTGAGTCCTTTGATGAGAACGTAAACCTGAACTATGAGTAAAGCTCTGTCCACACTCGAGGCATTTATAGGCTTTCTCCCCAGAGTGAGTCCTTTCGTGTGAACGTAGATTTGATTTCCAAGTGAAGCTCTGTCCACATTGCAGGCATTTATAGGCTTTCTCCCCAGCATGAGTCTTTTGATGTGAACGTAGAGATGAACTCTGAGTGAAGCTCTGTCCACACTCTGGGCATGTAAAGGGTTTCTCCCCAGTGTGAGTCCTTTGATGTGTCCGTAGAGCTGAACTACAAGTGAAGCTCTTTCCGCACTCCTGGCATGTACAGCGTTTCTTCCCAGAACGATTCATTTTGTGCTGCTGCAGACGACACCTCGATGCTTTCTCCTTCCTGTCAACAGTGGCATGGGTGTTTAATTGCAATACAGACACTTGACTCTTCCTTTTCTAATTTCTTGTCTGGAAATGGGGTCAAGAATTCAACAAGATCATCTCCTTGAGAAGATTCCTTCTTCCTCTATCATTGGCGTCCTTACTGCACCCAAGAAGTGGCTCCATAGACTCCTCATTTCCCTGGTCAGGAGAGAAGCAAAACATCAATCATGGAAGCCAGGGACCGTATTTGCCCCCAAAGCCTCCCCCTTTCCCTTCAGGGTCACGTTGAAAACGGAAATAGCAAGGCATGCAGGCACTGGGGTCTCAAGCGCACACACAGACACCAGCCAAGGCAAGCACTGATTCTTTAAAAAGAAGGGAATGAATCTAGAGAGAAGAAAAGGAGGGAGGGAAGAAGAGAATGAATGAATGAAAGCAGGAAGAAAGGGAAATCATTCCAATGTTGGAGCCTCACATTGAGATCCTTGTGTTGGACACAAATGTGGCTAAAGGAACGGGAGGCAGGAAGCAGGCGGAAAGGAGGAGTTCTTTCCTCTATTAAAGGGTGTCATTCGCTCTGGATCCCGGGTTTCCCCAAATTCCCAGGATGTGCTAAATGCGGAGGGACACCCACATGCCTGGGCCGCCTCCCATCCCACCATGGGTCCCGTATTCTGCTTCCTGAGCATCCCAAATCCGACAACGGCTGCCATGAGGCCGGGCTGGAGCACAGCTGCTTCCTCGCAACAGCAACCCGACACTGCCGACCGGAAGGTGGGGGAAGGTGAGTGGAGAGTTGGGTGACCACAGAGGCTGAGGAAGCAAGAAGCCATCTTGGCTCCCTTTGCTTCAGGTGAGCCTTGCCTAAGAGTGCACTAGAAATCTGAGTGTGCGCTCGACTCCTGTCGTTTAAGACTAGTTGCTCTGAGTGTTTGTTTTGTTTGGAAGGCGAAGCTACGTTCTTCAGCCAGCAGTGATTGACAGGTTCAGGTCAGCCCTTCGTGAGGGATTGTGGCCTCTGCTTTGAAGCCAACTGGAGTGAGGGTCTGCTTCCTGTTTATAACCAGAAAACGGTCCAATCAAATACATTAGATTGTAAATCATTTAAATTAAATAAACACATTAGAGTGTAGAATCCTAGAATCCTAGAGTTGGAAGAGACCTCCTGGGACATCATCCAGTCCAACCCCTTTCTGCCAAGAAGCAGTAAAATTTCATTCAAAGCACCCCCCACAGATGGCCATCCAGCCTCTGCTTAAAAGCTTCCAGAAAAGGAGCCTCCACTACACTCTGGGGCAGAGAGTTCCGCTGCTGAACGGTTTACAGAGGCAACAATTCAATGCCCAACAACACCATAAAAACATTTAAAAACATTAGCCTATAATCTAAAACTGTAACAAGATAAATAAGACATAAATCATTTGCGCCTCCTAGTTAAAAAGTTGTCCAGTCTCATCACCCAGTTGTTCCATATCCCTATGTCTGTTACACTGCATTTTCAAATGCTTGCTCAAAAAGCCACGCCTCGACTTTTTTCCGGAATGTTAAAAGATAGAACGGTATCTATCTATCTATCTATCTATCTATCTATCTATCTATCTATCCATCCATCCATCCATCCATCCATCCATCCATCCATCCATCCATCCATCTATCCATCCTCCTGTTTAATTATTTATTATTTATTAACTTTATTTGTACCCCGCTAGCATCTCCCGAAGGACTCGATGCGGCTTACACGGGCCGAAGCCTCAAAACACAATACAATAGAAAACATAACATAACAATAAACAAAGCAAATCAAAACAATTAAGCAAAGTAACCACAATGACAAAACATCATGTTTAAGGAGCTCCTTTGGCTGCCATTTATTTTCCGGTCCCAATTCAAGGTGCAGGTTTTGACCTACAAATCCCTGAACGGTTTGGGACCCGCCTACCTGCGCGACCGCATTTCCGTCTACGAACCCACACGACCTTTCGATCTTCTGGAGAGGCTCTTCTCTTGCTCCGGCCCTCATCACAAGTGTGACTTGTGGGGACGAGAGAGGGGGGGCCTTCTCCGTGGTGGCCCCCCGGCTCTGGAATTCTCTCCCCAGAGATATTAGGCAAGCCCCCACCCTGGCAATCTTCAGGAGGAGCCTGAAAACCTGGTTATTCCCATGTGCCTTCAATGACTGAATGTGAGATGCTCCCGGACCAGACTCTGCATCAAATGACCTCAGAAGCACTTTATTCCATGGTTCGCGCAATTCAATCCGTCCTCATCCTCGGATCCCCTCCCTGGTTTCTACATTGTCCCATCTCCCAGGGTTCTAAAATTTTATCCTTGAATTTGGCCCTGCTCAGTTTGATCATCTGTCTTGTTTACTTATATTGGTTTTGCATCTGATGTAATTTATTTTGTGTTTTTGTTGTGTTTTTGTTATTGTGTTTTACTGTATTGATGGGCGTGGCCTTGGGGGAGATGGAGGCGGGGTATACATAAAGTTTTGTTATCTATCTCTCCATCCATCCATCCATCCATCCATCTGCTGATGCTGCTCTTATCGGCCTTCTAGGGCTGTAGTTGAAAAGCAGACAACGAAGAAGAGTGATTTTGTGCCCTGCCATTTGCACAACACTTTCTTCCCTCGGTCTTGAACTCTTCTTTGGTGTTGGTCCTGTTCTTCCCAACACGGCACGTGGTTCCTATGTTAACAGCACGGTTCCTGACAGAGGTGGATTTTTCCCACACAGCCATAGAACCCGGAACGTGGAGGCAGAGAATCCCACCCTCTCTGCTCTGAACTGGTTCTCTGACTCCAGGCTGCCAGGCCTCCCAGTCCACAGCAGAGAATGTGGGGCGCTCTTCAGCTGTGTGTGTGTGGGGGGGGGGGGCTCAGGGGAGAGGAGAGAAGAGAAGAAAGGAGCGACAGAAGGAAGGAAGGGGTTGGAAGAGGAGAAAGGGAGGGAAGAAGGAAAAGGGAAGGAGAGGAAGAGGAGGAAAAGAAGTAGTAGAAGAAGGAAAAGAAGTAGTAGAAGAGGGGAAGGAAGGAAGGAAGGAAGGAAGGAAGGAAGGAAGGAAGGAAGGAAGGAAGGAAGGAAGGAAGGAAGGAAGAGCTGGGAGACTTCCCCCTTCCTAAACCGAAAGCCTAACCGCAGTGGTCCTCCTTTTTGCGCTCCTCTCAATCACACTTTTTTTTTTTCTATTCCTACCTCATTTTATCTCGTCCATTTGGTCTGCCCCTTGTGTCTGATTTTATGCTACGTCCATCTGCTTTATTGATTTGACTTTGCTATTGTATGTATTTTATTCTGGTGTAATGTTGTTGCCTGTTTTTTTGCATTTTGTTGTGCTGAATTGTATCTTTGGGCATGGCCTCATGTTAGCCACCCTGAGTCCCCTTCGGAGAGATGGCAGCGGCGGGGTATAAATAAATATTATTATTATCTTATTAAACCTGACGAAGACAGAGATCAAAGGCAGGAGGCGGCGGAGGGGCGGGGGGGGGGGGGGCAGGCAGGCAGGCAGGAAGGAAGGAAGGAAGGGCAAGAGAGAAGAACGTGAGGAGAGAGAAAGGAGGGAGGAGGGGCCTGCCGAAGCCCTTATTTATTTATTTATTTATTTATTTATTGACTATTTATTTACAACATTTCTATGTTGCCCTTCTCACCTCAAAGGGGACTCAGAGCAGCTTACAAGATACAATATATTATATTATATTATTATTATATTATTACAAGATACTATATATTATACATACAATATATTATATTATTAGCATAGTACAATATCAGTATTATATACTAGCCGTCCCCTGCCACACGTTGCTGTGGCCCAGTCTATGTGTTTTGTGTGTGTATCTATATGTGTGTATATGTGTGCTTTTGCACATGCATTGTAATGTATTTTATTTTATTTTTGGCTTTTTAAGTCTCTTCAGCTGTGTTTTTCTGAGTGATGGTCACTGCTTGGCCTGATAGGTGTATTTTGTGTCCAAATTTGGTCTCAAAGGGGTCTACATTGTTAATTGCAGCAATAATACGTTTCATGCTTATGTCTATGTTTGGTTTTTTAAAATATAGTTTTAACGGTTTTTATCTACAGTTATCGATTTGGATATGTGATATTTTCATATATATGTGAGGCATTGAAGTGGCCATTTGTTATGTTGTAAACCGCTTTGAGTCCCCCCAGGGGTGGGAAAAGCGTAATAGAAATGTAGTTAATAAATAAATACATAAATAATTTGCCTAGTGGTTTTTGAGTTATGTTAATCCCACAAACGAATATTACATTTTTATTTATATAGATTACTATATTGTATTATACCATTATATTGCAATATTATTAGTAATGTCACATGTATATAGAAATATATAATTATATCACATTGTATAATGTAATATATTGTATTACACCATTATATTGCAATATTAGTAATATTACATGTACTATAAATATATTGTATAAATATATTGTATCACATTGTATAATGTAATATATTGTATTATACCATTATATTATAATATTAGTAATATCACATGTAATATAAATATATAATTATACTCTCATATTGTAGGAAGGAATATATTGTATTCCACCATTATATTGCTATATTATTATTATTATTATTATTATTATACTTTATTTGTACCCCGCTAGCATCTCCCAAAGGACTCAATGTGGCTTACAAAGGCCAAGGCCTCAACATAACAACAACAAAAACAATAACAATGCAAGCAAATTAAAAACATAAGCAATAACACAACAAAACATTACACAATTACACAATAAAATCAGGGCCAGGCCAATGATGGGTACAGGTTAAAAGTGCTGGGTGTGTGAGGTGGTATG